AATAATACCATGTGAAGCATTTTGAAGCATTCATTTCATGAAGAGTGCTATAAATTGCTATTCATCCATCCATTTGCTTCTGCTTCATCCGTTGCCGTGTTGCAAGGGCAGCAGTCTAAGAAATGACACCCAGAGATCCCTATTGACACAAACTTCCTTATTTGTCACCCCAAATGAGCTAAAGGAAGTGTGTATATTATATTATATTTCATTATTAGTCGCATCAGTGGGAGAAGCAAGACCTCAAACAGTGTATAAATACATTGAAGTAAAACTATATGTATAAGTTGACTTAAGACAAATCTTGGAAAAACGCTGGACAAAATGGCCAGATTATAAAAATAGGTTTAGTCTCTAATTTGTTCTCGTCTACGTACAGTATGTGCATATATTTATACTTATAAGTATGAACGTCTGTTTTTCTATCTGTACAAAACTATTGCCCTTTGTTTTATTCTTTAATGTTATAATAAAAAGTATATATAAAAAAACTATATGTATAAGTAAAAATTACCTCCTACACCAAGGAAATGTTAGTCCTGAGGATGTCCTCCAGTAAAATAGCAAACAAACAAAAAACCACAGGCTTAATATCTGAGACTGTCGGCAACAGCTTTTCAAGAACAACCAAGAAAAGAAGAGCAATTATTCATTTCCCTCATACATTGAAGTTGCATAGATCTATTTTTGACTCCAATTTGATGGCAAACACAGCTTGAGGCAATAATGTGAAATAGTGCCGTGTGCATCTCTCCCACAGGTGGAATTTGCAGAAGAATAGATTGACAGAGGTATTTGCCTAAGCTTAATTCAGGCGTGTGTTCACAGTTGCAGCGAGTTAACTGGAAAGCGTTGTGACAGTGATATAAACACTGAGCTGTTAATTAGACAGAGGTGAACTCCGGGGTGCAGCGCCTGGAGAGGAGACGGCAGAGACAGAAGAATGTTGGAGCTATAGAAAGTGCATCTGTGTATGTATCCAAGACCGTTTACCATAGTCATAAAGGAAGAGTCCCAATAATATGGCTTCTTTTCATATCATTCATATTAAAGACATTATAATTGACATATGAACTTCTAATAGGAAAATATGTAGTTTATTTTTTTCTTCCAACAGTTTGTCTTAATCAATACTTGGGCACATATTTACCAAAGCACTTGTAAATATTTGGTTCATTTTGAATAAGAATTATATTTTGTATCTGCTAAAACCAGCTAGGGACAAATGTTTGGGTTCCAAGCGGTTTCACTACATTATTGACTGAATTGTTGTATGTGAAATAAATGAAAGGTAAGAAAAAAAAGAACCATTAAAGTATCTTGTTCATGTAGGGAAATGCTGCTTCTGCATGTGACTTATCCTGCAATGCCACTTGGTCACCTGTCAGAAACAGTGGTAAGTACAGTGCAGGGAATCGATTTCCAGATGTTGATGGTCGGGACTATTCATCCGTAAACTTTGGTTCATCATCATTTCCAACATTTCTGTCTGTGCCTGATCCTAGTGTCTGCAGCTCCCTGGTTGAGTCCCCTCTGACCAGTCAACGAGCGGGCGAGGCAGGTGTTGTAGGTAGGTGTCGGTGACGTCAAGAGATCGCGCTGAATTTGCTGGTTGTAGTTTGGCGACGGCAGAGAATGTGATAGTAAAGAAACCTGTTAAGGTTCAGCTCCAAATGTCAAGAAATTTAAGCCGTAGCAAGAGGAATGTTTAGCAAATGTCATTGCTGTAAAGATGTTGTGGCTTTACAACCCACGGGCTTCGTTAGTGGCAAAGGAGATGGCTAAAGCTAGAATAAATGCTAAAGCTATGCTAAACCCAGATCCAATCGATTCAATCTGAAAAAGGAGTTAACCCCTCACACCAGTTAACAGAGCTCAATGGAGCAAATCCAGACCCTAGTACGAAATTAAATTTGTACGATGAAATGGTAAGACCAGGTCAAGACTACCGAAGCTGGAGGATTTTACTCATTCTATGTTTTTAGTGTGAAGAGAATTTAAATTTGAGGGTTGCTGAATTGACATCAAAACAATTTGGTAGAGAAAGAAAAAACACAGCACAACAATGGGTGTAATATAAGAAGATTGTGCAGAAAGTCATAAAGTACTGAATCTGTATTTGTATTTTGGTTGATGGCAGATTTTTGTTTTGACTATAGCAGCAAACGGCATCCCCAATGCGCTTTTGTTATTTGGAGCCTTTTCACCAGAAAGAACCAAGAAAATGTGGCCTTCAGGTTGCATCCCGTCTCCAGAAAAGTTAATACAGAATTAAGTTTAAATGAAAGCTACGGGAAATCAACCAGAACAGAACGATGTAGGAGAAACAAACACAAGGAAGTTTATAAGAAATATTCAGGTAGAGAAGTCTGTGAGGGGAAATGTGACAGAGGAGAAGCAGCCCAAATTACAGTGGGATCTGAAATCATAATAAGCACATGGTAAACATTCAGAGGGCTTTATCAGTCACAGTAGACCTGACATGGTTCTATGCAAACAACACTGCTCCGCTGCCTTTCCGCTCTCAATAAACAGAATTTCCTATGGGGCTGTGGTCGTGTGCAAACTCCACATCCTGACGACCGAGAGAGGAAAAATCAGTCAACAAACGCACAAGGACACTCAGGAAAGAAGACATAAAACTCTACGAGACGTGGAAAGGTTAGCTCGCCAACTGATACGACTCAAGTTAAGTGGAATGTCCGGATGTGGCGAGGAGAGCAGACGTGTGTGAGCGCCCTGAATGCAATAACAACTATCAAACACACACAAACTTTATTGATCCACAAGGTAAACCATTTAGACCCAGCTCACGCAGTAAAGTTGAAACACACACACACAAATAAGTCCATAAAATGAGAAAATATGTAAATCAAGAAGTAGAATAATAACAACTGTCTACTTTGTATTGACACACTATTTCAAGACTCAGTATTGACTGGATATTTATCGTATTTACTAAAATCCCTGTGTATTTAAGGATTTTTTTTTTCCATTGTCAAGAGTCTCTCGGATTTTTGTCTCCTCTCTTCATAGGTCTCCAGTGTTTTTGCCACTGCAGATCCTGGTGAGCACCTGACCAAGTTAGATCCACTGCAGCTCTCGTCTGAGTTTATTGGATGTACTTTGACTGACAAAACTAGCTGCTAAATGATCAGCCTATTGTTGAACCTCAACGTTTTTTAACCAGTATGTAGTATATTAGAATAAAGGTTGATAAAGAGAGTAGTAGTAGTGGGAGTAATAGTGGTAGTGTACGGCAGTGAAAAAATAATGCCATGTGAAGCATATAGAGTGCCATGAAGAGTGCTGTAAATGTCTATCCATCAATCCTTCTTCCCCTTAATCCTCACTGATCCTCCAGCAGGTGGTGAGTTCACAGAAGGATGATATTGCTCTGTCAGTGACAACACAGCCTTGGTCTTTCAGCGGGGGCTTCAGGCAAAGTGGGGTTAAGTGTCTCGCCCAAGGACACAACAACAGCAGACATCAGTGGGAGTCAGTGGAGACGGTCTCATGATAGAATGAACCCACGACCTTCAGTCTCAAAGGCCAATGCTCTACCAACTCAGCCACTGCATAATTCAATGGGAAAAAGTAGCTTCATTGTAGCACAAAAAGGACCACATCAAGCTTCCTCCCCACCTCCATATGCCTATAAACTTCTGGTTTGGAAATCTGTTTTATGTATTTTATATTGCATTTCTGCACTTTTGTTATATTTATATCTTTTTATATCTTGTGTTTCTTATGTACCTCCACTGGTGCTTTGTCTGTAAATGAAGTTCCGAACGGATAAACAAGTTGTTTGAATTGAATTGAACATTTTAAAAGAGCAAAAACACAATGCAATGTAATTTAATTTACATTAAAAACGTGACTTACCTTGAGCAAGATGACATACAACTTCACACAAAGGAACTTATGCATGCACAATAGGAGTAACAGCAGTCATAGAAAAATAAGATGTAGAACAAGGATTAGTTGATCAGTTTTAGAAGAAAAAGGCAAGAAGGAATGTCAAGGTCTTTATTGGGAACTTGCAGATATTCCAAAGACGAATGAAAATGCCAAATTCCACAAACAATTTCAAACTTTCATACTAATTAGTAAACTAAACAGACAAGATGAGGAACAAGTTTTAGTTAAAAAGGTAAGAGGAAAGAAGGAAAGGACAAGCTTGTTTAAAGGTTCTTTTTATTAGTTAGTGAAATGTCAGCCCCACAGTGGAGGGAATTGTGAAATTCAAATCAACCTTTTTGTCCAATTATTGTCAAAAAATCCAAAATTTACAGCATGAAAAGTGGGTATAGAGACATGAATGATTAACTCAAGTCACATCGACGTATGAAAGCCATTGTAACATTAGCGATGCGTGTCACCAAAGCAAACCTGTTGAACGGACCTAAAATTGCAACAATGTCAGATTACTGCACTGAATAAAAGCTCTGATCAGTTCAAATGGTACAATCTACAGTCGGGTTGGGCGATGTGGAGACAGAACAACTCGTGATCTAATTACTAACAAGCTGCTGCTATTTTGATCTCATCTACATCGAGCTCCACCATAAAGCTTTCTGATGAAAAATACAAAAAAAAACACTGCACAATTGCTTACAACTGGAAACGACTACTTAAGCCAGGGGTGTCAAACTCCTTTACCAGTATCTATCAATGCTGAAAGATACTGTGATAATGATAATTGAAAATCCTTTCAGAGGCCACTTAAAATTGGTCTTGTGGGCTGGATTTGGCCCTCGAGCCTGAGCTTGTCATGCCTGATTTAAGCCAAACGTGACCATCTTCAGCAGATAGCTTAAACAGTGGTCAAGATCAAGTTTTCAATGTAATTTAATTGTATTCTTCTGGACACCTAAATTTCTCCTACAAGGGATCAATCCATCCATCCATCCATCTATCTATCGCCCAACCCTATGGTACAGCTAGGACTGCATTCGTTCCCATCCAAAAGTTTTTCAGTTCCCATCCGAGCGGCTTACCATTTCTCTGGGCAGGAACATGTCTTCTTGTCGTAGAACCACGAGGCTGACGCTCTCTCCCTGCCGAGTGCTCCGCAGCATGGACACCAGCTCCTCCTGCCCCACTCCAGTGATGTCCACTCCGTTCACCTACAACAGGGAAATGACGAGTCAAGGAGATATCATGTGGAGCTGGGCATGAGTGTTTTATTTCATTTTTGAGAAAATAGGTAGTTACTATATGTCCTGTTGTAGTGGCACACAACCTTAAGGCAGATACCAATCAAATCAATGTATATTAAGATGCTAACAAAGCAGTTAGCATTTTATTTTGGACTAGAGCGGAGAAAATGGACCGAACCAAGTGGCTGCTCCACCTCTGCTGCTGTGACCAATCCTACTCCACCTAGCGGTTACACCACCTCTGTTGCTATTTTCAGAATTATCTATTTATTTGTTTTATTTGTATGGATGAACATGTGGATGTGAGCAGGCAATTACAGTAGTCTCGCCTACAGGAGACAAATGCAGGGATAAGAATCTCCAAGTCTGCTTTTGACACTGTTTTTAATCCTGACATTTTTTTTAGGTGGTAAAAAGCTGCTGATTTTATCGATTTGAACTGGCTATTAAAATGCAAGTCTGAGTCCAGAATTACCCTTTGAGTAGCATCTATCTACTTAATTTGAGTTGCCAGAGGCTTCACACAAGTAGCATACACAGCTACCCAGACAATGAAGGTGGTTGATTGTTGTATCAAACATTTATAGGTGAATTCTAATTTATTTTTTCACAATTATAAAATAATAAAGCTTGCTTTGAGAAAAAAGAATGTCAAATGAATAGAATGTACAGTACTAGCAGCATGGGTCAAATACAGGGGACACATTTTCCTACATGGACCATTTGAGATAAAGAGATCCTTTATTCGTGCCACAGTGGGGACATTTCAGAACTCAACATTTCTTAACAATAACAGCTAAAGTATAAAAGAAAATCCTTCAAATCAACAACATGTTAACAATTCAGCACATGTGGATAACAGTACAATGGATAAACAGCAGCTCCAAGCGCTCTTCTATTTTGGAAACCACACAGATATTTTCTTCGTGGCAGGAGACATAGACAAGCAGCATTTTACAGTGCAGGGATAAGTTGGCAGCAAAATAGACATACAGAGGCTGCTGGGCTCAAGACTGCTCCAAGGCACTCCTCTGAAGACTGCGGCTGTCAAGATGAGATTTTGGATCCAGCCAACAATAGAAGTGCGTACAACATCCACTGGTTTGGGGTGGCAAGGTTTCAACTTTTCCTTTTGTGGAGAACGTTTCAAAAACATGGCAGGGTTTACTGTTGTCAATCTAGGTACATCAATTCTTGTTTGATCCAGTTTTGTACATGGAGTGCAATCTTTGCTTCTCCATTCACTCCTCAAGTGAGTGACGCCTACATTATGACTAGAATTGTATGTTTTCGCTCTGGTTCAAACCAGTGCGTGTGGTGTGTTCACAACTCCCACTAATGTCTGTGTTGTTGTTTCCTTTCCAAGACACTTAACCACCCCCCCAACCCAGAAATGGATTAAAGGGAAGAAAATGGATGGATAGATAAAACTTTTGGGATTTTAAATAGTTATTCCATAAAAGTGCATTACTGAAATATTTTTATATTTAGCTGCAATACCTTATCATTATGAGGTCATTCCTGTGTTCTAATGAGTGACTAGTAAAGTATCAGCTGCCCTGGGGCAGACTGCTACTGTACCTCCAGGATGCGGTCTCCAGATTGAAGGCGTCCATCTTTGACAGCCGCTCCTCGAGGAAGAATGTTTTTGACTAGAATTGGCCCCGGACCATGGACCGAGGAATCTCTGGTGACCACTGTGAAACCAAGCCCCTCAGAACCTACAAAACACATTAGACATTGTTTTACAATAAAGATAATTTTAATGCATTCTGCAAAACATAGCTCCTTAAGGTCAGTTGTGGTTTTCACAGTTGTTATTGCTTGAAACGTGAATTAGATAAAATGTCATAAATGTCAGTTATTATTGTTATTGAAAAATATTGAATAGCAAGTTATTTTTGTGATCTAAAACTGTAACAGTGAGGTACTCTCCAAATCAATAAAAAAGCCAAGTCACGGTCAAACAATGGACAATTGTCTGCAGTCATATCCTTGGCAAGACACTTAACCCCACTTTGCCTGAAGGCCCCACTGAAAGATCAAGGCTATGTTCACACAGACTGAGCTGCCTCCTTTGGAGGCCTGGGGGCAATTGCGGCCTTCAGTGTCATGATATGTGTGGCCCTCTGTCTCGCGAACAAAAAGTCTATGAGATCATAAACACGAGTTCACCATTTCATCCATCCAACTCCAGCTCAGCCAATATAGACATGTCATAACTGGTTCTAAAGCTCAGTACTTATGGAATTCAGTCGTTGACTTGTGAATGTCATTCAGCCAACTTCAGCTACATTATAGATCATTTTAAAGTTCAGACCAGCCCGATGCCAGTCAAGACAGTTTTTCAGTGGGTGACATCGGCCCCTGGACTAGTCTGGTGAATTAAGGCGGCACTCTTACTAAAATGTTTGGACACCCCTGTATTATAAGCATCGCCCATGTTAATTCAGATTGTTGTAATTAGAAACCACTATTAGCCATTATTTGTACAACCTATTGCTGTGCTTTTTTATGGAGAATGTTTTCCTCCACAACTATGAGGTTGATCGTCTTTATGTCACCACAAAAAGATTTCTGATGAAGTCATTGCAGTGAAAAGTTCAAGAGCCACTGCTGTAGGTATCACGGCTCGACATCGAAAACACATGAAGCCATTTGAGGACTTCTTAACTTTCTTCTTGCCCATTGAAACGCAGGGTTAGAAGTTAAACCTCCCGGAGATTGTGTGTTCCCGTTTGCTTTAAGCCCTTTAGCTATAGCTCGTGGCGGTATTTTGTGGTGTGACGAGTTCAGCTGCGGGGCAAAAACGACCATGGAAAAAAAGAAATGAACCCGCAGCAACAGAGTGGAATTGAAGACCGAACGTGCTGGAAGAGCGCAAGATTAAAACAGTAAAAGTCAGCGAGTGCAAGAGTGGGAAAGGCTTATAAACATACATGCATGCGCGGGTTGCATACAGTGGGATATAGTGGAGCAATGGAGAGTGCAGTGCTGCTTTATGGACCTCATTTAGTCTGGTCTCTTTAGCACGGCCGAGTCAGCACTTTGGCTCGCTATGAATTCATATCAGCAGAAATGAACAGATCAATAAGGACTTAATAGACCCTGAAAGGAGCGAATCAGGAAGATGGAGCGGAGAGGAAAGGGTGGGAAGGACAGTGGGGCCGAGGAATGAGAACAAGAAGAAGTTACCATGCTCACGGAGAGAGGACACAGGCTGCAGACTACAGGTTCAATGCCAAACTGGTGTATTAGCAAAACCTAAAGCTGGAGCACATAACTTTGAAACCACAGAAAATGAACTATCTAACCTAAGAGGAACCCTAAGCATAGGGTTCCTCAGGGTGCTACGGTTTCCCCAACCACAAAAAAATATGTACAGTAGGTCTGGCGTGAGCCTCCTGAGAGATAAATGTCAGTAATTGTAAGGCGCTTTGTGACTTTGGTCTGTGAAAAGTGCTGTATAAATATAGATTACTTACTTATGTAACTAGTTCCTGGCTATCAAAAGTGTATATGTTTGGCCTCTGTATATATATATCAAATATCAGCGGCCTTGTGTTTTTTTGTTATGCTTATATTTCTGTGGTTGTCTGTTGATTATATAATAACTTTTTTTTTTTTTTTTTTTTTAGGACAATGACCTTAAATAAAAGAATAAATAAAAATCAGTTACTGTTATGGGTTTTACAATCGTTATTTTTGTTGCTTTTTTCTACCAGAGATGTTGCTGGAGTTCATGGTAAAATGAAAAAGAAAACGGTTCAAACATGTGACCAAAAGCAATGTAGCATTCTAATACTTTTGCTAGTTATTTTTGAAATTATATATATATTTTAGGGCTGTCAAACGATTAAAAATGTTTAGTTGATTTATTGCATTGTAATGGTGGCTTAACTCACAATCGCATTGTTAACATTCTATTTCAAATCCACTCCAATTGAAGTTAAATGATATTATCAAATGTAATTACACATTGTCATTCGTACCAAATGTAATCTGTTTGCTTTGCTCACAACCTTTTACTTTTGGGTACAACCAACATGAACTGTTAATGAAAGGGAAAATGTACGTACCCCAGCTTTAATTTAGTTGCATAATGTTCAATTCATGATAATAGCTTGTTCCGTGTTTGCCGCAATCGCTTTTTTTGTGCATAAAAACATTTTTTCATTAAAACGTTAACAAGTAATTCTGAAAACCTCCATGCATGTGTATTAATAATGTATATGTATCATGTGTTCTCTGATTAACATTTAAAAGTGTTACGGAAACGTAGGCATAGACCAATCAGAAAAGAAGGGGGAGGGAGCTTGCGTCGTTTTTTTCAAATCAAGTATCTCTCTCTCTCTTTCTGACAAACTCCAGACAATCACTTTAAGGAGAAGACAAGAGGCTCCATAGTTCAGCTTCAGTATATGTGTATTTATTTCTGCACAGGTTACGCAAAGACACGCACACGTCATGCAGATTCTGCATGTAGTTCTGTGTCTGTATGGTCTTGGACCACGTTACCGCAGCGCCGTTTGCCGTGTTTTTGTTAGCAGCCACGGAGGATCTGGACTTCAGTTCATACAGCAAACAACAGCAAGTGCCCCACGGTCACGCGTATATTCTTTTAAAACTAGAATTCCCAGAGGGCCTACCTGCTCTGTTCCCATCTCACACAAGCATGTTTAAGCGGCATTCTGAGTAATATTATGGCATGCAAAGGCAGGTCATTGGGACATGAGCCAATGTACGCCATAATGAAAAATGTAATTAATGTGGGTTAACGCGATAATTTTGAGAGCCCTAATTTATTTGTTTTGTTGGATGCATTTCTGCTGCTACTGGACACCTGAATCTCTTCTACAGAGATCAATAAAGTATCTATCCATCTATCTAACCATCTAAACTCAGGGTAAACTAAAATCAGTCTGATATTACAGCAGCTTTTTGAATGAAACACAGAAGCACGGAATTAAATCAGATACACATTTAGACAAGTGAAGCCAACCGGATATCAGACGTTATTGTGTGTCCGATGGGAGTGAGTCACCAGGCTGTAATTCAAAGCAGGATTTCATTTTAGCTGCCACTCATAAGATCTGCATTGTTTTATCCCTCTTGTACTAATTAGATATTCTTTGGCAAAGTCTAGACAGATGTTTTTCAATCACTGCCTTTGTTAAAATAGTTAGGATGTTTGTTAAAGGCATAGCGTGCTTCTGTCTTCTGTATATGATCATCTTGGACAGCGGTGGCTCTTCATCATGTATTTTGTAAATTTTAAATCAAAATGTTGATCCAATTTGATGCAATAGAAGGTTCGGTTATCCCATTACTCAGTGCATAGATCTCTGTGTTTCCATAAACGTGTGTGAACTATAGATTCAATAGAACATCACATCCATTACTAGATAAAAAGCAAGGTCAACTTGACAAATCTAATCAAAGAATCAGAAATGCTGATTGCCATTGTAAGTAACGAGTCACAAACTAGGATTTATTTGTGAAATCGTAAATCTTTGACATATTGTGCAGGTAAAAAAAACAAAAAAAAACATTTTAGACCTATATATCCACCATAGTTGGTTTCATTCATACCTTTTCCAGGCGTTATTGCCGAAATGATGTGCAAAGAAGTCACTGTACATTTGCAATTCCTTCTGGAAGGAAGGAACGCTCTACTCCCCACGGGCTCCTTTAGTGGCCAAGGAGATGGCTAAAGCTAGGCTAAATACTAGCGAACTCACTCAAGTCAGGCAAGGTTTTATCTGGCTGTCTGATATTCTACATTGGCTCACATCAAAGACACCACTGGAGATAAAGTTAAAAATAAAGCTATTTTCATGAGAAAAAAAGTGTCTTTGTGCTCCAGTTGAGTCATCACTGCATCACAGATTAAGACAACAAGAAAATCAGCAAATAATGTGAAACAAATGGCCACAAGGCTAACCAATAATGAATTGCGCTAAAAACACCAAAATATTTTTGAGAAAGACTTACCTTTCTTCAAATCGATCCTAAGCCGTCTCCCTGTGCGTTTTCCAGACACAAGGCTGGACAACCCTGGACTCTTCCTGGAGTGAGGGCTCTGGCTTCTGCTCCGTGGCGTCTACATGGACATAGACATGTATCAAGACAGCTGTAAGTTTCTTAAACAGACATAAGTAATTCTTAAACTTAAGTTAAACATATTTTTACCCCAGTAAGGAAATGTGTTATCTGCATTTGACCTATATTCATTGTCTGTGAGGAGCAGTGTTTGACGTACTACAGCACCCAGAGAATATTTTGCCTATTGTGCATGTTTTTAGCGGTAGAGGAAACCGGAGCACCTAAAGAAAACCTACGCAGACAGGGGGAGAATGTGCAAACTCCACTCAGAAAGTTCATTTTCTGAACACAGGATGAGAAGCGAGAGAATCTCACCACTCAGACAAATGACTGTTAAATGCCTTTTAAAAAAGCAATTGTAAAAAAAAATGCATAATATGAATACCAAAAAAAAGTGACATTCCATAAGTGCTAATTTTTTTATTTGGTTCTGTCATTTTCTGAAACTATCTGATACCAGAGGAGTTGTCAGTATTACCATAGAAACCCAGAGCATAAAAACATTTAATGCATCTACATAACTTTCTGAACTGGCAAAAAAAGAGCTATTAATTTACATAAACACTACTGGTGAAGGCAAGTTAGTATTTTCCACAGCTTCTAACTCAAAATCCTTTTAATTAATGCAACCGCCACCAAGCCCAATTAAAAATCATAAAAACATGATTCCTCAGAAGTCCTGTCTTGAAGTCCAGAGTCCATTTACTCTTCTCGTCTGACTTTGGTGACCAGAAAACTCACCATAATCACTTGTTGCCTAGTAACTGTTGCCCACGCCAGCTATTTCGCATCGCCATGGAGACATGACGATCAAATTACACATCTTTTCCCAGTAAAAGAGTTAAAAAAAACACATAAAATGGTTTGAACTTCCAATCCCAGGAGAATTTGATGTTAAAAAGCAGCTTTAAAATCTCTAAGGCTATGAGCAGAACGGATTAGGAATTAAAAATAGTTCATTACTTCTCTATTTAAATCAGATTTATTCACTGTGTAATCGAACAAATCCATCAAGGGATTAGAATTTTCATTATTAAGTACCTGGAAAAGTCACACTCTTAAGCCACGGTTCTCAGACTCTGGGCTGGGAGCCAGAGAGGGGCATAAGAGGTTTGGTATGGGTTTTTGAATATACAGTGCCTTGCGAAAGTATTCGGCCCCCTTGAACCTTTCAACATTTCGCCACATTTCAGGCTTCAAACATAAAAGATATAAAATTAAATTTTTTGTCAAGAATGAACAACAAGTGGGGCACAATTGTGAAGTGGGACGGAATTTATTAGATAATTTAAACTTTTTTAACAAATAAAAAACTGAAAAGTGGGGCGTGCAATATTATTCGGCCCCCTTGCGCTAATACTTTGCAGCGCCACCTTTTGCTGCAATTACAGCTGCAAGTCGCTTGGGGTATGTCTCTATCAGTTTTGTACATCGAGAGACTGGAATTCTTGCCCATTCTTCCTTGCAAAACAGATTCTCGATTGGATCCAGGTCTGGACTTTGACTTGGTCATTCTAACACCTGGATACGTCAATTTGTGAACCATTCCATTGTAGATTTGGCTTTATGTTTTGGATCATTGTCCTGTTGGAAGATAAATCTCCGTCCCAGTCTCAGGTCTTTTGCAGACTCCAACAGGTTTTCTTCCAGAATGGTCTTGTATTTGGCTCCATCCATCTTCCCATCAATTTTAGCCATCTTGCCTGTCCCTGCTGAAGAAAAGCAGGCCCAAACCATGATGCTGCCACCACCATGTTTGACAGTGGGGATGGTGTGTTCAGGGTGATGAGCTGTGTTGCTTTTACGCCAAACATATCGTTTTGCATTGTGGCCAAAAAGTTCGATTTTGGTTTCATCTGACCAGAGCACCTTCTTCCACATGTTTGGTGTGTCTCCCAGGTCGCTTGTGGCAAACTTTAAACAAGACTTTTTATGGATATCTTTGAGAAATGGCTTTCTTCTTGCCACTCTTCCATTAAGGCCAGATTTGTGCAGTGCACGACTGATTGTTGTCCTATGGACAGACTCTCCCACCTCAGCTGTAGTTATCTGCAGTTCATCCAGAGTGATCATGGGCCTCTTGGCTGCATCTCTGATCAGTCTTCTCCTTGTTTGAGATGAAAGAAAAATCAAAGAGCAGGTGCATTTATACGGAGACTTGATTACACACAGGTGCATTCTATTTATCATCATCAGTCATTTAGGACAACATTGGATCATTCAAAGATCCTCACTGAACTTCTGGAGTGAGTTTGCTGCACTGAAAGTAAAGGGGCCGAATAATATTGCACGCCACACGTTTCGTTTTTTATTTGTTAAAAAAGTTTAAATTATCCAATAAATTTTGTTCCACTTCACGATCTTGTTCCACTTGTTGATTCTTGACAAAAAATTAAATTTTTATATCTTTATGTTTGAAGCCTGAAATGTGGCGAAATGTTGAAAGGTTAAAGGGGGCCGAATACTTTCGCAAAGGCACTGTATCAAAACCAATACAGGTTTTTGTCAAAGTCAATTTTTAGTCAGTTTACTTTCAATTTGTTACAAAAAAATAAGAGCGATCGGTGATGATCCAGGACACTCAACATTTATCAACATTTATGGACATAGATTTCTGCTCCTTATGGACAAATGGCTCGCTGTGTTTTCTATCATTGTATTTAATATGTTTGAATTGTTTGATTCTCTGATGTGTTGGCCAATTTAACGGTTTTGTAAAGTGTTGTGATTTAGAGCGATATAAAAATAAATTGGATTGAAATAAAATCAGAAACTGGTAAAAGTAATAGGGTTCTTTTGCATTGTAAATACAGAATTTACCTTTTTCAGTTGGAGAGCTACTTCTATAAAACACAAGAGGTAGAGGGCTACTTCTATACGACAGAAAAGGCAGAGTAGCTACTTTTACACAAGAAGAGGTAGAGAGCTACTAATATACAACCGAGGAGGCAGAGAGCTACTTTTATATGACACAAGAGGTAGAGAGCTACTTCTATACAATAGAAAAGGCAGAGAGCTACTTTCACACAAGAGGAGGTAGAGAGCTACTAATATACAACCGAGGAGGCAGAGAGCTACTTTTATATGACACAAGAGCTGGAGAGCTACTTCTATACAACAGAAATGGTAGAGAGCTACTTTTACACAAGAGCAGGTAGAGAGCTACTAATATACAACAGAGGAGGCAGAGAGCTACTTTTAAACAACAGAAGAGGCAGAGAGCTACTATTAAAAAATACGTAATAGCGACATAACATGGAGAACAGTTTTAAAATACAATACTAACAATACTACAAACATTTCAATGTACTTGAAAATATACTTTAAGGCAGACTGTATACTAAATATTGTGACAAATGGGGTCTCCAATCTTCTTAAACTCAACGAAAATGCCTTATTCCTGAGATTGGAGTTTTTCAGAAAAAAAGACTATCCCGAGATTGAATGCATGTCATACCCTTAAAAAGCAGTGCATAGAAAAAGACGACAAAAAATAAACAAGGAGATGAATAACCTATAATACATCCCGGTTTAAATAACACCATGACATTATACTAAATGTTAATGGTACAGCCTTCATTATCAAGGGTTTATTTCATCATCCTGTTTTGTTTTTGTTCCAAATGTTGATTATGATTTTTAGACTTGCATAATTAATCTTTGTGTGTTAGTTTAGTCCTCGTTTGATTTAGAGATCATATATTCGTCCCACTGTGGAGAAATGTCAGTGTTGCAACACAAGTTACAGAAAAATAGGAATGAGGAGCACGTGATTAATAACTCCACACTAAAATAAAATAAAATCTCTAACTCTAATAAGAATCAGTATAAAATCTATCTTTAGCAAAATCAAGAAGGGTAATTAAGAAGTAATTAAGTAACACAAGTCCCAAGCCCTTCACAATTGTTTTTTTGGTGGCATTTGTCTCTCACTGCACACAGAGATGGGAAGGTTGCCATACAGGGAGCTCATGCCAGACCTACTATACATGTTTTCAGTGGTAGGGCAAACCGGAGCACCCAGAGGAAACCTACGCAGACACAGGGACAACACGCAAACTCTACTCAGAAAGTTCCTGTTCCGACTGCGATTCAAACCCAGGAGTAAGAAGCGAGACTGTACAACACGGTGGCTGAACGGTTAGCACTCTCGCTTCTCAGCAAGAAGGTCCAGGGTTCGAATCCCAGACCCTGGGAAAAAAAAGGGTCTTTCTGAGTACCTGCGTAGGTTTCCTCCAGGTGCTCTGGTTCCCCCCTACCTATTAAAAAATTTACATCATCCAGCATCAACAACTGGAGATGGATTCCCAGGCGCTGTTACTACGGCGACCACTGTTCTTGACACAAGCCTGAATGGCATCAGGATCGGTCAAATGCAGAGGATGAATTGCCCTACGGGGATTCATAAAGTGCACCTTTACCTAATTACAAAAACCCTGACTTTAGCATGATAAGGAGCAAGTATAAAATTCTGTATATTCTAGTGCAGTAATATATTTACATCTCACATCTCACAGAGACTCAAAATCTACATCTACTGTATGTGGTTTAGATATATTTTCATTCTCACATGTGGACGTGGCTCCATTGGCACTGGGTCTTCTGCTATCCTCATGGCTGTGCTCTCTGGGGGTCTGAACACAGGTTTGGCCTTCACTGGAGGAGGGGGCTCTTTGGATCTGGGCCCCCGGGGACTGCCTTCTGGAGCCGGGGTGCTGTTGAAGAGCTGTCCGATCAGACTCTTCTCGTATCGCTCTCTGTTGGCAGAAGAAACCACCTCCAGCCGCACAATAGGAGAGCGCATGGCCTGGCGGAATATCTCCTGGGCTCTAGAAAGAAAAAGAAAAAATTATAAGAATTACAGCGCCTGGCAAAAATATTCATACGGCTTGAACTTTTAATAATAATAATAATAATGCATAGGTTTTATACAGCGTTTTTCTGGACACTCAAAGACGCTTCAAATGTCATTATTCTCTCACTCAAAACACAGTGGTGATAAACTACTACTGTAGCCACAGCTTCCCTGGGGCACACTGACAGAAACAAGGCAACCAGTCTGTGCCATTAACCCCCCCCACCACCAACCATTCACACACACCATACTCATTCTAATGTGGCTGCAGTGTCTTGCCTAAGGACACAGTGACAGTTAGCCACAGCCCCCCCCCCCACTGTTTGTGTTCCCAGAGGTCTCCCATCAAAGTACTAACCAGGGCAGCTGTTCAAAATGAGGGCTGTTGAAGTGCATACCTTTATTAATGTTGTTTAACCTTCATAATTATCTACAATGAAGTGCAGAAATACCAATAGTCTGTCCCGAAAGCAGAGACACACCTGCACAGTCGGTCATCGGACTCCTATGGTCAATAAAAGAGATCATTTTGCAGGTAATCATAATTATGAGATTATGCTAAGTATGTTAGAGGAAGCAGTGTGTCAGGAGCTATCGGCACAAACCATTATTCACTTCAGAAATCCAAGAGAGACAATCTGGTTTATTCACTTTTATTGGATTAAAGCCTCATTGTATCCCTCCAAGATTATTATTGGACTCATAATGACCATAATGTTTCCGTAACAAGAGATTAGGTCCATATCATACGTAATTTGTGGGATATTTGAGAAAACTCTTCTGGATGAGGGCAATGCATATTTAGTTTAAAAGCAAAGGCAAAACCCTATATCCAAAAACAGTAATTGCTATAATGAGACCAAAGTTATCAAATAATCCTATAGAAAATATGTTAAGGATCACTCCACACTAAACTGTACCAATGTGTTACAAATGGGTCAATGACACAAAAAAGTCCCGAAATGTCCGTGGCCGCTACTCCCAAATGTTCAGACTCTAGTTTTGTTCCAGCTTGTTTGTCGAGTGAGAGAGCCACTATTTCTAAAACGCCAAGTTTATCTGCAGTTATTTAAGATAAGATAAGATGTGCTTTATTTATCTCACAGAGGAGAAATTTACATGTCACATTTGGCATGGATAGAGACACTCAGATTGAATAATAGTTTTTTGCATTATCTATAAATAGAGATTGATTCTACTTATTTCCCTTACTATTAAATAGTGTCTGTCCTGCTATTTATCTCATTCACAAAGCCTCCAACATCACAGGTCCTAATTGTAATAATTATGTCCTCAAAGTTCAATACCATTATGTTTAATGGTTTTGAGCCCTCTGAGATTATACTATGTATATCTATAAACTACATTGTGCTAAAGAATTATTATTAGGAACAAACATTTTTTGTTCAAACATTTATTTTCTTGCCGCTTGAAGTAAGATTGACCCATTGTACAATTTAATACAAAAAAGAATTTTTAAATATTACAAGAAACGGCAGCTTAGAAGGGGATAGATTCAGATAATTTAACAATGTAAAAAATCTGAAACTGAAAGCTGTTAACCCTGAGACGTGGACTGTTTATTGAATATTCACAATGAATGGATTATTACAAAAGTTTGGTCATCGTAGAATTGGTGTGCAGTGCTTCCCACACTTGCCACAGTAGTTACAACTTGAGAACAGTCATAACTATATGGGACTACTTTATAGGAGAAAAAATACATCATTGAAATTGGAAATTCAGATTGGACCTCTGGAGTTTTGTCCCACTATTGTCCTTTTTGACAATAATTTGCTGCCCTAATTAACATAGTCAGCACACGGTTCTGCCTGAGGACCCTCGTAAACGCCTGTATCACACCTTGCTCAATGACACTTGTGTTGGGCTCATTGTACTAAAGCTACAATAACATTAGATGAAGGGGCCGATCGGTGTCGTCCAGGGCCCATTGTGCAAAGATGATATCATTATGGCCTCTCAGCGTGCGCCGTGTTTGTGAAAAAGAGATATCCTAATCAAACAGCCTTCTCCAGTGAAGCTGCCAACAGGGAACAATGGAGCAGTGTGTGTCCGGCTGTGTTACTGTGTGGACACAAGAAGCCTGACGACCGACGTCCTATTAATGTGAACTGAGCAGAGATGGATTCATTTAAGTAATTATGTACGTATTATATTATTTATTTATTTTTTGAACACATTGCAAAAACATAAAAGACAACAAAAAAACCCATAGGAAAAGTGTTGTGAAAGAAAATATAAAACAAGTACATACTAAAATATAAGTGCTATACCATACTTCAAAACAAAAGAAGTTGTTTAAAACCATTGTAATTTACGTTGGATTTGGTCTATTGAATTCTGGACCAAGCACATGAAAATGATATATTTTAATAATTGCAAATCATAGCATACCATAGCATATCTTGGTATGCGGCACGGTGGCTGAGTGGATAGCACTCTCGCCTCTCAGCAAAAAGGTCCTGGGTTCAAATCCCGGTTGGACCAGGGCCTTTCTGAGTGGAGTTTGCATGTTCTCCCCGTATCTGCGTAGGTTTCCTCCGGGTGCTCCGGTTTCCCCTACCACTAAAAATATGTACAATAGGTCTGGCATGTGCCACCTGTACTGGCACCCCCACTCCCAAAAATCACAATTGTAAACCGCTTTGAGACTCTGATGTGCAGTGAAAAGGCGCTATATAAATAAAGATTACTTACTTACATCTTAGATAAGTCTCCTTTATCTGCCCTTGCTATAGTGTCATAAACTGCAGGTTAGCTAGCGTAAACGAATGGCGGTGGCTATGTGCAATCTCTCATCTCTTTATGCACCACCCTAAAGTTTGTAAACTTGGGGGAGGTGATCGATCCTCTTTGATTTCGACGACCGAGACCATGACGTACTTTCATAAAAAGTTCATGACAGTGGCTAATAGGGATTTTAAACTAAACTAAGCTAAATTGCTTCTTAGTTTATATGTACTAACAAAGAACACGTGAAATCTTGACCCAGGAATTACAGAGGAATTAAAATTAAACAACAAATCTGACTTTTGAAACTTACCATAGTTCCCAGAAAAGGATGACATCACGTGAAGGCAACCAATTGACTGTTTTGATAACCACTAAGACTGTGTCCTCAATGTTACATGAAGCTACACAAAGGAGCATCCACCTGCCTTCATGAACAAAAGATGAAACCTCATGCAGCGATAATCCACTTACCTACAGCACGGCATAAAACTGCATGTCTAATCTCATTACACACTCTAAACCGGACACGGATTAAGGCGAAAAATGAAAGATGTTGCCAATGTAATCAAACGCATCCACATCATTGATTTTAAACAGTGACTAACGATTCCACAGGTGTGTTTTTGTCATTCCAGTGCCCCAGGTCCCATAATACTTCTTTTGGAGCTTTAATAAAAGGATAGGGAAAACTTTGGGAAGAGACGTTTTTCGGGGGGAAAGATTTATGTGAATGAACAAAACGGTCCTGTGAGAAATCAAAACTATGCAGCTGAATTGGGGATTCTCAGAGCATCTGTCGCTTCAGTCGAGACTGAGGTGGTACAAGACACACACAAAAAGACAACCTAAAAAAACTAACAAAGGCAATGCCACCACCTTTGTGCAATGGAATATTCTAGATCAGGGGTTATTGCTATATATGTTTAACAGGTACATATTGTTACGTATCGAAGCAGATTTCAGCCGAGTGGGAGGGGCCAATCATTTTAGTATGGGTGTGCGGCCTGATTCTAGAGAAAGGGTTAGGGTTACTTCACTTTCCATGTCGTCTTTCGAGTCACACGACACGGTACATATTTTAGAAGCACTGAAAATGAATACTTTTTTGGACATTTGGGGAACTAATAGTACTAGAGTTGGGACTGGTATAAATGATTTGCACAGGAAGAATGCTTTGCCTTTTGTTCTTTGTTTTGCTTTTACAGGGATTACGCTAAACAGATTTCTCAATGAATTGGATACAAATAAGCAGGTTTTGCAGATGTAAAAGGGTAGTAATTGAGTATACGCGAGGAGGGTTGATAATAGGCGTTTAGACTGATCCCATACAGCACATGTGTCAAAGTCAAGGCCCGCGGGCCAAATCCGGCCCGCGAATGAATTATCTATGGCCCCCGGGACATTGCCTGCCATTGAGGCAATGTATTGACCCCTTAAGCTCGCTAGCCCCCGCCGGCGGGAGCAAACAAGGAAAAAAATACTTCTGCTGGCAATAGCAGATGTATTTTGAACTTCATAAGCCACAACCTATATATCATTTTAAAGCTTATTTTCTCAGCTATATTTATATGTAAGTGTAAACGATATCAGACCTTTGCATTAAAAAGATATAACACATAATATGGGCACAAAATAAATCACGTCTATATTCGTTTTTTACCTTTCGTCTTCTGCTGCTCCAACAAATTAGACTTTCCCCATCCTTGCTTAGTCTCTTTCTCTCCGTAACTGTTCATTGAAGAAGAATATCCACTTGTATTTCCCAAAGTATAATCCATTCTGCAGATTTAATCAAAAAACGCCCCGAAAAGAGGTCCAGACTGCTCTTTTACATTTTTTTTTTTTTTTTACTATTTTCATGTTCTCAGATGTCTATCAATCAATCAATCAATCTTTATTTATAGGGCGCTTTTCCTGCACAGGGCAACACAAAGCGCCTCACAGTCCACACCACACAATGCACAAATCATCACCATTAAAATACAATTAAAAACACATATGTAATTAAAAAGCATTAAAATCACATAAGTAATTTAAAAACATAAGAATCACACAAGTAATTAAAAACAATAAAATAGTTAAAAACACAAAAAGTTACAACAATAAATAACAAGGTGTGTTAAAACGATAAAATTCTCTAGTTGTATGTCTTTAACATGGATTTGAACATTGACAGAGAGGCAGCCAGTCTCACATCCTCAGGAAGACTGTTCCAGACTTTAGCTGCATAAATCTGAAAAGCAGCCTCCCCCTGTCTAGTCCTGACTCTGGGCACTAACAGGAGTCCCGTCCCTGCGCTCCTCAGAGTCCGGGCTGGTTCATATGGGACTAGCATATCATGGATGTACTTTGGTGCAAGGCCATGGAGAGACTTGTACACCAGGAGAGCTGCTTTAAAGTCTATCCTCTGGGCCACGGGAAGCCAGTGCAGAGACCTGAGGACCGGACTAATGTGGTCGTACTTCCTGGTTCTAGTCAGGACTCGGGCTGCAGCATTTTGAATATACTGCAGCTGTTTTACTGCATGTTTGGAGATACCTGTGAGCAGGCCATTGCAGTAATCCAGCCTACTGGAAACAAAAGAATGGATAAGAATCTCCAAGTCTGCCCTGGACACAATATTTTTAATTTTGGCAATATTTTTCAGATGATAAAAAGCTGCTGATGTTAGTCCATTATTACTCCCAGATTTCTGACCTTATTTAAAGGCCCCAGGGAGAGAGACTGAAGGTGACAAATGACGGTCTCTCTTTGTTTCTCGGGACCAAAGACAATCATTTCGGTTTTGTCCGCATTTAGCTGGAGAAAATTGCATTGCATCCACTCACTGATCCGCTGGATACAGCAAAGGAGTGAGTCCACCGGTCCATGTTCTCCTGCAGTCAGTGAGACATAGATCTGAGTGTCATCAGCGTAATTGTGGTAGGACACTTTCATACTTTGAATTAACTGACCTAATGGCAGCATGTAAATATTGAACAGGAGAGGTCCCAGAATCGACCCCTGTGGCACTCCGCAGGTCAGGGCCATATTATCTGAGACATAGTCTCCAATCTCCACACAATACTTCCTTTCTTCTAGATAGGACCTAAACCAGCTTAGGGCGGTACCAGCAACACCAACCCAGTCCTCCAGTCTCTGCATGAGAATCTCATGGTCAACGGTGTCGAAAGCGGCACTCAGATCTAACATGACTAAAACAGAGACTTTTCCTGCATCAGTGTTAAGCCGAATATCATTTGTTACCTTGACTAGAGCGGTCTCAGTACTGTGGTGTGGTCTAAAGCCAGACTGAAACATGTCAAATGAGTCATTAGATATTAAAAATTCAGTAAGTTGTTGGTAGGCAACTTTTTCAAGAATTTTTCCCATGAATTTTTATTACATCTATTACATCTAATGTGTACAGTATGAGGATTGGCTTTAGAGCATATTTTATTGAGCCAGCAGGTGTCACCGGCACTGCCTCTGGATGTTGAGAAACATTGAACCAGTCCGGCCCTCGGCACGTAGCAAACTTTTTTTTTTGGCCCTCTGATGTATTTGACTTTGACATGCCTGCCATACAGTAACACTGGTGGTTAAAATGGATACAGTCATCTGGTAATGTATCCATGCATGTTTAATGTTTTTGTTAAAGCACCTTGCAAACAATAAAAACAACTGCAAGGGCTTGAGAAACATTAAACATTACCTTCGAAAGACGTCCTCGCCGCCGTCTTAAAACAGAACATGTATTTCAATAACGTTGAAAATGAAAACACAGTGGTTGGTATTTAACGCACAATGGAATGACATTTCAAAAGGTCACATATAGCATAGGAGCTTTAAGGGAGCAAATGTGGCTAATTAAATACTGCTAAAATGATGTACCATAAATTGTCTGAATCGAGACACAATAAAAACCAAGGGCGACTCAAGGAAGGACGAGCAAATAAAAGGACACTACTGTACGCTAGCCCTGTCTGTGCCTTTCGCAGAGGTTTAAATCATGTCAGATGTAATTTCTCACCAGTATGGGGCCTAATAGGGTCTTAAGCAGAGGTGGAACTCACTGGCTGAATGACTTGTCCATGAGATCGGAGTTATTGATCTTGACGATGCACTCTTCTTCAACAAAAAGTCCCTCCTTTCTGCTGCGACTGTCCTCCTCGATGCCACGGATGAAAAGACCCAGAGGCCTGAGCAGTGAAAAATACAGGGACAAATGTAATTGGGATTTATAGCGGCTATGAAACTAGGACAATACAGACAAGAAACAGTTTGGCAACCAATGGGAAAATGACAGTTTGTGTTGTGGTGGATGTTATCAGCATAAATACACAAGCACCAATCTGTTTCCTTAATAAATCAAACAAAAATTAAGGAATACAAAAATTAAGGAATACAAAAATTAAGCGGCGGTTTACTGAATAGGTGATGTGAAATTTTAGAGCATTAAAACGGTTTTCAATTAGTTTAATCCCAAACATAGAGGACTAATCACATAATTAAACGTGCAAAAAAAAGCTTAGTACTTTTTTCTTTAGAAAAATAATACTGGGACCTCGCCCAATGGTGGAGGATTTCTAGATACTATGTAAATATATAGTGAGGCGGTGAGTGAGAGTGATGAGAGTGAGGAGGAGAGTGCGGGTGATGGGAGTGAGGAGGAGAGTGCGGGTGATGGGAGTGAAGAGAAGAGTGCGGGTGATGGGAGTGAAGAGAAGAGTGCGGGTGATGGGAGTGAGGAGGAGAGTGCGGGTGATGGGAGTGAGGAGGAGAGTGCGGGTGATGGGAGTGAGGTGCTTAGTGCGGATGATGGGAGGGAGGAGGAGAGTACCAGTGATGGGAGTGAGGAGGAGAGTGCGGGTGATGGGAGTGAGGAGGAGAGTGCGGGTGATGGGAGTGAGGAGGAGAGTGCGGGTGATGGGAGTGAGGAGGAGAGTGCGGGTGATGGGAGTGAGGAGGAGAGTGCGGGTGATGGGAGTGAGGAGGAGAGTGCGGGTGATGGGAGTGAGGAGGAGAGCGCGGGTGATGAGAGTGAGGAGGAGAGTGCGGGTGATGGGAGTGAAGAGGAGAGCGCGGGTGATGGGAGTGAGGAGGAGAGCGCGGGTGATGGGAGTGAGGAGGAGAGCGCGGGTGATGGGAGTGAGGAGGAGAGCGCGGGTGATGGGAGTGAGGAGGAGAGCGCGGGTGATGGGAGTGAGGAGGAGAGCGCGGGTGATGGGAGTGAGGAGGAGAGCGCGGGTGATGGGAGTGAGGAGGAGAGCGCGGGTGATGGGAGTGAGGAGGAGAGTGCGGGTGATGGGAGTGAGGCGCTTAGTGCGGATGATGGGAGGGAGGAGGAGAGTGCGGGTGATGGGAGTGAGGAGGAGAGTGCGGGTGATGGGAGTGAGGAGGAGAGTGCGGGTGATGGGAGTGAGGAGGAGAGTGCGGATGATGGGAGGGAGGAGGAGAGTGCGGGTGATGGGAGTGAGGAGGAGAGTGCGGGTGATGGGAGTGAGGAGGAGAGTGCGGGTGATGGGAGTGAGGAGGAGAGTGCGGGTGATGGGAGTGAGGAGGAGAGTGCGGGTGATGGGAGTGAGGAGGAGAGTGCGGATGATGGGAGGGAGGAGGAGAGCGCCAGTGATGGGAGTGAGGTGCTTAGTGTGGGTGATGGGAGTGAGGAGGAGAGTGCGGGTGATGGGAGTGAGGAGGAGAGTGCGGGTGATGGGAGTGAAGAGGAGAGTGCGGGTGATGGGAGTGAAGAGGAGAGTGCGGGTGATGGGAGGGAGGAGGTGAGTGCGGGTGACGGGAGGGAAGGCGGTTGGAGTCAGCTGAGCGAAGGCGGGAGGTGGGTTGGTGTTGGTGTTGTGAGGAGGAACTTATATTGGAAGCGATTTGAGTCAGTGGACATATTTAAAAGAACTACTTGAAACTCAGCTTGTGATAACACATTCATGTTTAGATTCGGGGCTCTTTGTTTTGACGTCCTGTTTTTCTATGGTGCTCTTGCCTGTATCTATTTTTGGTCTGTTTAATATCTAATGTTTATTGTCTACTGTGGTTATTGCAAATGCATGTGGTGTAAAGCAGGTGAACCCCTGTCCCAACACAAATTTCACCGATGGTAGACAATAAAGTAGTATCTTATCTTATCTTATCTTATGTAAATATAGGTCAAACATCTTGTATTTTTTATGTGTAGCCTTATGATCCTTGCAGACACAGACCAAAGAATGGATTCAGTGGACCGGACTTGGGTTTGAAGGTGAAAGGCCAACTTAACAAACCAAGTGGAGGAAAAGGGCGGAGGACACTGTGGATACGAGACACAGAAGAATGTGGAGACGTGACAAAAGGGTCAGGTAAGGCATGAGAACCGCCATAAAAATATATCCTGCTTTGTTCATAGAATTTCCTCTACACGTTTTTTGCAAACCAACGCCCAGTTTTTTTTTTCCTAAGTGTAAGTTTATTAGTGCTGACCAGATAACACTACATATCTGCTTTGCAGAGATAGAAAGAAAAAAGTAGGATTTATTCTGGCGTATTTAACTTTCAAACCACAAAAAAATAAAAAAATAAAAATGTAATAATGTAATGTAATAAAAATCAATAGTTTTTACATGCATGTACTATCGGCCTCTGTTACGTGTTTAGATCAGCTGTTTGTACAAAAAAGTTAAAGAGAGTGAACCACCATCAATCAGCTTATCAGCCCAAAGCATCAAATAGTGACTCACAGGGCTCTTCCTAAATTGTATGCAAAAGATGGCCTAATAAGATACAGACAGAAAAAAAGTCTGAAAAAGGACATATTCAGAAAACTTTACTTTTTCATGACACTTTCTGTTGCAACAAAGAAAATATATATTTTTATTACAGTAGGCACTAGGCAGGACTGGAGGGGTTCTCGTATGTAAAAAGAAAAGGCAAAAAACAACTTTTGTAACATTTGAGAGCCTTCGTCTTCTATCTCAACGAAAATGTCTAATTTATGAAAAACTCAGAGTTGCATAAGGATTTTCTAACTGTGTTTTATGCCATTATGGGGTACTCTTTTAGCAAATAAAAAATATATCCAGAAGACCAGACGAGCCCTTGCTAAAAAACTGTTAAAAAACATCAGTCTATATTCAATTTATATATGAAGATTTTCCCAAACTTTAGGAAAGAACCACCCTATCCATGTCTTGAACAAAACTCTGGTCTTATTTGACACGTATCACCAGAATGATTGACAATTGGGAAGACCAACAGTCTTGATGATCCACTCGGAAGTAGAAAATCCTCCTATACACCTTTAAGAAATGACAGTAATATAGTAATTCTGTGACAAGACATATGCACAATGTATGATAAACCAAGGACAAAAAATACTACATTAGAATTGGTAAAATTGGCAAAACCAGGACGTAATGTTACATCAAACTGGAGATCCTGTAAATGAGTAAAAACAGGTTTGAGCAGAGTTTAGCATGCAGAGTACAGAGTTTTTTATGAGATTCAGTGTTGTTGTGTGGAAAAACAAGAGGCTGTTCGGAGCTTACCGTCCACTGAGGGAGGAGCAGTATGGGACAACATGGATCCCCAAAGGACTGTCCTCGCCCAAGATCTCCACTATTCTCGACAGGCTGCAAACAGAGACAAAGACAAAAACAAAAAGGACATTCAGAAAAATAGACAAGTAAAAAAACAGAAGGCTGCTGATTTGATGTCACTTTTGCATTAATTGAAAAACCCCTCAAGACTCATGGACAAAATTCCTTTTTAAATTGCAAACTTGTGCTTGTTGACTTGTACTGAAATGCTGTATTGACCTGGGAAAACGGTGGGTGTCGTGTCATGCTGGCTTTTCACCATGGCTCCACTCCTGTTAAACGGAAAGAATTGTCCCTCGTGTGAATTGACTCTCGGATTCCCTTATTGGTGTCTAAATTACTGCTACATTTGGCCAGAATGTTCACAATGGACACACCACAAAAAGACAAATTGGCAAGTCTTCAGCCCTAAAAGAAGAGGAGACCTGGGGTTGTATTTGGTTAATGGAAATGAAACGATAGAATAGGCCAGGACTGAGAGTTTGCATCTAATCTTGTTTTATGTAGTTTGGCAATTTTTGTTTTCCCCAATTTCACACATTTTGGTAATAACCTTGTGATGTAAAAATAATAATACCGTCAATAAACACGTATTTTTTACAAGATTTATTTCTTGGACCTTTGAAGGATGTGTTTGCTCCTGTTTGTTTAGCATGACTTTTTAGATTCTTATAAAACTCAAATAGGTGAGTAATTACAATGCTCGGAACAATGCTATTAGAAAGTGAGGAATAAATGTGGGCAGCTGGGAATATGCTAAGTTTCATTTTTCAACACCCCGACATTTAAATATGTATCTCTTATAAGTTATTAGCAGCACTGTCCTGACACCATAATTAAACACAAGGTTGTTTAAGATGGAGGTGCTGTGTAAGTCGAGAAAACATTCAACTCAGAGTCCAATAACTTTGACAAACGGCTCGCATTGGGGAGTAGCGAGAAGGTCAGGAGAGGATTAACTACTGCATGCTCCCAGATAAACTAATCAAATAAACAAAAGACTTCCACGAGAGCACACACTATTTACACAACCGCTGAATGCAGAGTACAGACTGGAGTAATCCAAAAGTAGAGACAGAGACGACGAAAAAACGCAAGGCAGCGAGAGAGAGTGTGTCTGGACTTTTGTTAACTTTGAATAGACAGTTGGTATCTCTCCATGGGCCCAGTTCATACAATCAAAGCCTGCCCCCCCCCCCGCACTGAATGGGTCCATAAACAGCGCTGTGTTAGTGATTGAAAAACTAATTGTTGTCCTCCGCGATGACTCTCAGGAGGCATTTGGCAGACACACTATCATGTCTGACTTTGGAGCAAGCTGTCTCGGTTACAAACTTTTGTCATGGTTGTTGTAAAGGGGAAATGTGTAGAGAAGGGCTGGGGGGAAAAAGTCATGTGTGTCTAGTTTTTTTATGCTTTACAATCGAGATAGAAAATGCCCTTCTATGTCACAAGGGCGTTGCTACTTGAAAAGCAGCAATAGCATGAATGCCGTGTCTTATAGGTTGCAACAAGGAATATCTCAGGGAGGAAAACGTCTTTGCAATGCAATACCATAAATCATGTGCTTAAAGTAAATGGCTTCACTAACCAATAATAATACATGATGTTTGCGTTACCATTCATTTACTCCATAAATGAATGGAATTGAATAATTACTAAAATATGGGGCAAAAAATCCATATGTCTGTTGCATATATCAAATCTACAACTTAAGTTGTACTTGATTTCGTTCATAACATAAGACATAACCATCAAGAAACAGTCCCCCTTGTTTAGAGGAAGTTGTAAGTAAGCAAGTAATCTTTATTTATATAGCACCTTTCACAGACCAGAGTCTGAAAGCGCTTTACAAAGTTAATCCACCGAGATAAAAAGAGTCAAGGAACAAAATGATGGATTTTGGTTCACAGATATGATTTCTGTAATGTGAGAATATAATTATTTTGAGCTCTATTCAAAAAGAGACCTCAATCATTGGTCTGGGTTGATTGATTTGGGTTTGAATGATGTATGTGAAATTGAGGGTAGGAACTTTGATCAAAAGCTGTAAATTATTCCAGGACTATCAGTTCAATCATTTCGGTCAATTGAATACACTACAGTATCTCATTTGGCTAAAACAAAATTGGAATTAAAATTCTAATGAATAAATAAAACATCTGTAAGACAAATAGCCAGAACAAATGGTTTTGCCTATACACTGCAATAGCGCACCAAGAGGATCAGGTGAAAATCCACTGGAGGAAAGCTAACTTTTTGAAAAATGCTAATGAAGCATTGAGCATTATACTTTGGACCAGAGCAGAAAAAAGTGTCCTGCTCCTACTCGACCTCTGCTGCTGTGACCAGTCCTGCTCCACCCAGAGGTCACTCCATCTCTGCTGCTGTGAGCCGTCCTGCTCCACCCAGAGGCTACTCGACCTCTGCTGCTGTGACCAGTCCTGCTCCACCCAGAGGTCACTCCATCTCTGCTGCTGTGAGCCGTCCTGCTCCACCCAGAGACTACTCCACCTCTGCTGCTGTGACCTGAAGGGCTGTTGCTGATCATTACTATTGTTAGCTTTTTAGAATTATCTTCTTTTTTTTTTTTTTTGCTGCTACTGGACAACTACATTTCTCCGACGGGGATCAATAAAATATCTATCTATCTATCTAACCTATACAGTCACGGGTAGAACATGCAAACTCCACTCAGAAAGGCCCCGTATCAACCGGGATTCGAACTCAGGAACCTCTTGCTAAGACGTGCCGCCCAGTAGTTGTAGATAGAGCAAGTCACAATTTATATCCGACCATCACAACAAAAATCATATTTATTTCTTTTTTGCTAAAAAGCCTTTGCAGCAGTGCACCAGATGGTTTTACATCCTCTATGCACACAACATCTGCCGTACCTTGTTAAACTAGCTGCGCGAAACAACACCAGTGATGAGACAAATACAAAAATAATTATTCATACTTTTCTTTTGCCAAACATTAGTTGCTTTTCAAACAGACTTGGTGAGCAGGTAATGTCTTTGCCCCATGCCAACGCGTTTTCCTATTGGCAGCCAAACAAAAGCTTAACAAAAACGCATTATAAGCACTTTTAAAAGATGTGAAAGAAACTTGGAGATATTATAAAGGAGGTTTTGAATTAATTAGACCTGGCTAATGATTTGAATAATTATGAAAAGAGGGGAAATATCTTGCAGCGCTCGCTCCCTTCGTGCCATCTCTGATCTTTCAAAGCTCCCGGCGGGGAAAAAAAATGAAGCACTCAAAACCCATTTGTGAAATCTCTTTTTGGGGAGATATGTTTGACAGGCTACATCAATGCAACACAAAAACCGGGATTGTGAGGGAGGGGGAAAATGGTTCAGACTTGAGAAAAGATGAAGAGTGCAGGTGTTGTCTATTGGTACACCTGCCACTTCACTGCTTCACGGTTTGAAAGACAAAAAACGGGGGAGGGGGGAACCATTGGAGAGTCCATTAACACTCAGCTCTCATCCATCTTGTTTATCTGAGGGCTTTGTTGGTTGCTGGGTCAGGCTTCAGAAAAGGTTGTAAACAGGTACAAATGAGCAGTACTACTTAAGGCTAATAAAGGCCTGAATAGACACATGACATAGCATTGAAAATTATGATATTTACTTAGCAGGAACAAGGATGATTGAAAGGAAAATATACACATCAGGACCGTAGAATATTTCTCAAAAGAGTCTTTCAGTAATTCAACTTAATCTCTTCCCCCCCCCCCCAAAAAAAAGTACATAGTTTGGACATGTCAGATGCAAAGTAACATGTCAACTTATTAGAACTAAAAATTAGAATAATTTAGAAATGTAAATAGAAATGACTTGTATGTAGGGCTGGGCGATATGGATATAAAACTATATCACAATTCATATCGATCGATAACGATATATATATATAGATTGTTTTTTTTCCTAAATAAATACATTTGTCGTGTCGGCTAACACACGTTAGCAGCCCTTGTTTATAGTCAGGCTCGAGGAATATGTTCACAAGCACAGTGTCCCCCATTGTTAGTCCTGGTTTAATCCTGGTTTAGACCTGGTTTAGCTCCTGTTTTGGCTGTTTTCAAGGGTCTTGTGTCTCCATGAGGGCTCCGGAATGCATCGAGTCTCTGTACCCACTGCCTCTACCGCGCCGCAAATGCTATTCCTCGCACAGACATGAATAACTATTGACACGGCATCGAAAAAGGATTTATAGATCCATGGACGCTGCGCATGGTGCGGTTGTTGTTTCCCAGACATTTTTTTGTGGGTCCTGCTCGGCTGTGATAGGTCGAGAAGCCTCTGCTTACATCTCCCAGAATTCCGCACGCTTCTGACTCGGCTTTACTTTCCGTGTTTTCTTCCTGTTTTTTCTAACTGAGTGAAGTTGAACTATGGAACATTCTATCGACCTTGTTTTCTATTGATATCGAACACGTGTCTATCGCAATATATGTCGTTATCGTTTTATTGCCCAGCCCTACTTGTATGCAAACACTTTTTATTGTATGTTTTTAATTGTGAAGCGCTTTAATTGTGAACCTGGTCTGGGACAGGTGCTATAAAAATAAAATTGACTTACTTATTAAAGTTGGTTTTGATAGGAGAAATAACTAGGGAATGTACACATAGCACCATTTCTTACATTTACACCCTTGCACAATTTCAATTAAGGTATGCTTCAGTCCTGTAATATTTATAGGCTGCTCTCTGAACTCATTTTGGACTTTTTTGCAATTTCAAGGATCGTTTCCCAGCCGACCATAAAAACCATTACATCACTTTTGCATTACTCACAGCAGAGATGGTCCGTGTGTGTGGGAGAGTATGAAATAATGAATATTTTTAACAATTTGGCGGCGATTCTTTCACACCCGGTTGTTTTGCGGGAAGATCATGACAACAATAAAAGTAACAGCATGTATTATTAAAGAGAAAAATAGCGCCTTATTGCACTTAATCAGGAGAGCGCATGCCGGTTTATGAGCGGAGATGTTTCATTGAAATGCACGGGAATAGCAGCTCACCACCACATGAAGATATTATTATTATGCTTCGGTGGGGAGCAGTGGGGTCAATCTTTGTTCAAGTTCAGATAGAAAGGGCTGAACGGTTACAACGGCAAATGAAAACTGCTAAACATCATTGAGCGGCTAATGTATTTTCATTTATATTTATACATTTTTAAACTTGTAAGAAGAACAGAATGCAAGTGAATGTCATCTCCACAGATACAATACGATGGGGATTTGGAAGGAAAGGTTAAAAACAGCCTTTCTTTTCTGTTAAAGAAAGTTGTGAGAATGCAATAGGAAGGTTTCATTTAATTTAATTCAAATTTCATTTCATTTCATTTAAATTTCCTTTAATTTATTTTGATTTTATTTTTTATCCATCCATCCATCCATCCATTTTCTACCCTTTAATCCATTTCTGGGTCAGGGGGGTGACAGTCAGAGATGCCACCCAAGTCTCATAGCACCAGCCCCTCACTGACCCTCTGCAGGTGGTGAGTCCACAGGAGGACGGCTGCTCTCTGAGTGTGAGCATAGCCTTGATCTTTCAGTGGGGGCTTTGGGCAAAGTGGGGTTAAGTGTCTTGCCCAAGGACACAACGACAGCAGTCATCAGTGGGAGTCGGTGGAGAAGGTGCAGAGGTGGGAATTGAACCAACGACCTTCTGGCCTTAAGGCCAATGCTCTACCAACTAAGCTACTGTCGCCCCATCATTGTAAATGACGAGATAGAAAAGTTTACCAAACAAGAACCAGAAGTAAACAAGGACTTACAATGGGGATCAGTGTTTATGAACATATGTCTTCACATTCTACTGTGACTAAACAAGCGCTGCTGACATGTTGATGCGGAAGTACCCACCATTCGCCCTGTGTTTTTCCCCATCACAGATTAACTAAACTCATGCAGCTGAAATTTAGTGGATGTGCGTTCAAGTCTCCATCAACGCACATCCATGCATCAGCCTTGGGAGCCATGGACTGCAAAAAATATGGGACGTAGTCACGCCTATTTCTGCCGTTGAAACTAATGTGCCATCACTTTTAGAGGAAGAAGGTCCTTTATTCGTCCCATAATGGGGAAATTTCAGTTTGATGCATACACATACACATACAGTATACACATCAAGGCAAGGAGCGAACATCACTTCCGCGCTCCCGCGCTTAACCCACAGGCAAAGTGGGTTAAGTGTCTTGCCCAAGGACACAACGACAGCAGACATCAGTGGGAGTCGGTGGAGAAGGTCTCGTGGTGGGCTCGAACCCACGACCTTTGGGCTCAAAGGCCAATGCTCTACCACAGCCATTCCCAAACTCAGTAACACCGAGGCCCCCTTAAAAATCTGACGGGTCTGCGTGGCCCCCCCAAAATAATAACCAAGAAGACAACATTAAGAATAGGCTCTTCTGGTTATTTTATTTTGGGGAAATAGCCTCTGCTACAAACATCGTAATACAAAAATGATTACAGTGGATTATTCAAGTCAAATAATGAACACAAATATTTTAATATTACAAACAAAACATTATAAATTTAACATTAAATAATTATATTATTTTTTTTATGACCTCCCGCGGCCCCCCTGCAGTACCCTCGCGGCCCACCAGGGGGCCGCGGACCCCACTTTGGGAGACACTGCTCTACCAACTGAGCCACTGTGAACGTGCATCCATGCCTCCATCAATGCACATCCATGCATCAGCTGTTGGAACACAGCTATAGTGTCTCTACAAATTGATTGACATCAGTAACTTATATTATAGTAACCTTCGGCTTTAATCTGGCATTCAAATAAATAAAGTGTACACAAAGATTCTCCATAGATGATACAAGACAACATGGCTGTAAACAATTACATTTTGCATGTGCCAATTTGCTAGCATTTTCATTGCACCTCACCGTTTTTCAATTCTATTTTCTCTGATATATTTTCAAAAGACCTTCCATTTTGTATCATCTGGTGAAGTCTCTACCCCCTCTCCCCAAAACAAGGCTCTCAACCCAGAAAGATCCCACATAGGGCCATGTTCAGCACCATGCTTTCTAATTAGGCAGCCTTCATTAGCGAGTATCAAGGCTGCCTACGGTTTCACATATTTATTTACTTGTGTGTACGTATGCGTGTGTGTGTGTACGTGTGTGTCAACAAGTGCAAGGCTGTTTACTCCGTGTGCAAACCCTGACCTGGTTTTGGCAGCCTTTTGTAGTGAGCTAATGATGGGAGAGTTGTAACTGTAACTATATGTGTAATGGCCTTGATCAGAGAATGCATTTAACGAAGGGAAAGTAGGACAAAAACACGCTCAAAAAAACATCAATAAACTGGGACCGAGGCAAACGAGCAGAAATGAACGGGCTCAGGGCAGCCTAGTGCAGAGATGGTGGCGTTTATTCGGGCCATTTACGCATTAATCCAATGTTTACGGTATGAATTTGAGCAGAGAAAATACTTACCTTGTGTTAAATGTGTGCTTGTTATAGTAGTAGTCTCTCTGGGGAACGGCAGGACTCGCGATCTGGGAAAAGTAAAACACACAGCATTTGTTTTTGCAATTTGCAAATGGAAAAAACATGAAACAAAAGTGCTCATACTGACTGTACATTGTTACATTATGTAGAAATTCATTCAATCGAAGTATGAATGAAGTTAAAGGACTTTTAATTCAAAGTCAGCGAGTACAAGTTATTGTCATTTATTCCTACAGAAATACAAAGTCCCAAGATCATTAAAGCAGGGGTTTGCAACATAAATACATTCTGGGGGAAAGTGTTCTCTCAAATGCCTTCATCTTCATTGTCAAAATTGTCCCAGTCCTATATCTGTTTATTTAACTCTTTTACATGAACCCAGACCCCAGAAAGAAAAAACCAATTGTGCATATTTTTAGTGGTGGGGAAAACCAGAGTGAGAACATGCAAACTGCAGTCAGAAAAAGGCCCCGTCCAGAGGGGGAACCAAACACAGGAACTTCTTGTCGTGATTGCTGAGCGCATTCAATAGTATATAAAAGTAAATATTAGTAGCATTATATAATAGCATTGTGTGTGTTAAAAAGGCCATATCAACATTAGCATCATGTCTTTCATTCTGCAAAGTATACATTTATCATTTTTCTTAATCTTTACTAAGGATACAATACTGTCCAGAAGTTGAAAGAAAATACAATACATACAATATATTGCGCATTGAAAAAGAAATATGTACATTAATCATACTAGACTATTTTCAAGTATGTGGAATCACTGTCTGTTTCTGCCTTAAAGTTTTGAAGCTGCTACGACTATGAAATTGACTGTTTTGGGGGGTACATTTTCCCACAGTCCTATACTTTGTTTGTGATATCTATTATCGACTGCACCAACACCTATTGTCCATGTGGTGACTGTGGTGAATAATCTTTGTTAATTTCATGAGGACCATGGGAGAAAACAATGACATTACGAGTGGCCATTGAATGATTTGTTAAACAGATGGATGGATAATGTGAGAGCATCCATTAATATATCTGAAGTGTGACAGCTGGTGTCAGGTTCATAATAAATAATGGTGTTGGAGGATGAGTCAACAGCAGAGACAGGCGTGAGGAAGGGGGAAAAATGAGTTTGGGCAGATGTGTGTCCAGGGAGCAGGGATCGTTGCATTAGAACATGGCACCAGACGTGACAGAGGGAAAGAGGGAGAGGGATTACGCATGTCAGTCAATTTCTGTGAATCTGCTGTGACTGACTGAGTGACATCATTCATAATGTTTCACCTGGATATGTGTGAGGGAGAATGTATAACATTGGTTACAGCAGTGGTCCCCAATCTTTGATCTACAACAACCTTGTACTGGGCTGTGGGTCAGTACCGGGAAACAAGTACAAGGGAAGAATAAATACATTTGCATCATTTCATTTTTTTATAATTTTTTTTACAAAATCCGAGTCTAAACAATCCTCCATCACGAGATCCCTGCCCATTAAAACAGTCACCTTTTACTATACAAGCACTGTTAAATGTCTATTCTGTGTACTTGTCTAAAGTAGACATAAAAATAAAAATATGTGTATGTGTGCTTTTACACTTTTTACTGTTATAACTTGTTTGCACCATGAGCCAAAAAAACAATAGTTTGTGACTTCCTGTTACTTACACTGGTAATAAAAAAAATATTCTCCACAAGTTTGAATAATTAAAAATAACAGAAACAGATCAGGATGCTCCTAGAAAGATAGGGGAAGGCACATAGGAGGGTATGGGTGTCTGTTTCATAACTTATTTTTTTTGTCTTTGTGATTCCATTCAGCCATTTTCTTCCCGTTTGACCATTTCTGGGTCGAGGGGGAAGAAATCCGTTGTCACCAGATGCACAGAGCACCCTCACTGATCCTCCTGCAGGTGATGAGTCCACAAGAGGATCTTCATGATTCCATAACTTTTATTTTATTCACATAACAGCTGTAGGTATGAATATAAAAGCCCAGGTTGTACTGCTTGACTCTGCATCACAAGATGACTGTTTTATGAGCAAAAAAAAAAAAAAAAGGTAAGGAATGTTCCCATAATGCTCTTAGACTCTTGAGGAACAAAAAGTAAGCAGAAGACAAGAGCGTGAAGGGATCAAAGCTCAAACCACAATGACTGGAGGAGCAAGGACCACGGACCAGGGCTCAGAGACTGAGCTGGGCCAACAGCCTTGGTGGTCCGGACAACTGGCCTTAATTTACATCCGGTCCATGAAAATATTGTCCGACTGGCCCTTGGCACCAAAAAGATTGGGGTCTACTAGGATGTTTTGATAAACTGGTTGAACGGAGGGCAATAGCTTGAATCTAGGTAAACGGTTCAATTTGTGAATACATTCAAAGTTCTTTAAAAAACAGAAAATAACAAATTGAAATCAATGAGTAATTAAATACAAAATTGTAAATATGTACAGTTTTAAAGGAGAACAATGTAATTTTGTTCAGCCATTTTAATACATTTCCTCCGGAGGATTTCAACTGTTTTAGTGTACATACGTATCTTGATATGCAATAACATCCGTATCACTATTTATGCATTTTTTTAATCGTACATTTTACAAAAAAACCAAGCTTTATAATCACTACTTTTGAACAGACAACTAAGACGAACAGAGGATTACAATAAAACATCTTGAATGGTAAAAGGTTATGAGATCCATATCTATACCATTTCAACCTATATCTTTTCTCTTTCTTTCAGTAACTCGATCTGTTTATTTGTAACAACACATGTCCAAACACACACATAACCTCAGCTCAATACAGCTCAATGTTAATAGTCACCATTAATGGACTCTTAACCTGACCTCTGGCCCTCCTAATGGCATCTGACCCCGACCACCTGTCAGAGAAACTGATACCGAGACACACATAAGCATAAATTATAAACTTGTATTTTTCCTTTTTTTTTTTATCTATAAGGACAATAAAAATCAATGCAAGGACAAACAAGGGACAGACAAACAAAACAAAATAAAAAAAGACATAAAGATTTATTTCACATTGACACAAAAACTAAAAATACCTAATAATCAGAATTTCTTTCCAATAAAAAGGCATCAAGAATTTTATCCCACATTTTTTGGTGCTTTTCTTTTTCATAAGCATTCTTCTTAACTGTGATAATTTAACTATTTGAAGATCTTTCATTACTATATCATAAACTTTATGCTCTTTCTTATGTACAAACATACGGTGGACGACATACGGTGGACGACATACGGTGGACGACATACGGTGGACGATTGGGTCATTATTTTATGGAAAGGTGTTAGAATCCTGCATGTACCAAATCGGCCCATAACATACTGTCTTTACCTTATCAAGACAAAAGCAGGTCTAAACAGGACTAAAGCAGACCTAAACCGGCACAAACCAGGTATACAGCAGGACAAAAGCAGGTCTAAACCAGGACTAATGCAGAACTTAAGCAGGACTAAAGCAGGACTAAAGCAGGGTTAAAGTAGGACTAAAGCAGGACGAAAGCAGAACTAAAGAAGGACAAAAGCAGGGCCGAACCGGGACTAATACAGGTCTAAAGTAGGACTAAAGCAGCTAGTATTAGCAATAACAGTTGGTTTTGAGAGTGAGAAACTAGTCCGTTGGATTTTTTTTATTAGACTATTTTTTAATAGACTTAAAGTTTCCTTCTGTGACTTTGTAATTAATCCCCATCTAAAAACAAATTTAAAAAATGACGTTTTTGATTTACATTCACCAACACTTAGCTAAATGGGATCCTCGGTTCATTAAAGTCGTAATGAGTTAGTTTATAGTAATCACCGATGTTAATTACAGTTGCAGATAAAGTACATTTTTGCTGAGTTTCTTCATTTAATCTAAGATTTTCTCACACGACTTCTTGCATATACTAGATCATGGCTATATAACTTTTAAGTATGAGGGCCACTTTAGTTCACCAGACTTGTCCAGGAGTCCATTACAAAAAGGGGGAATGATATGCTCATATTGATTTATATTTGACTGACCTGACCTGATCTCGCCACACTCATATATATCATTTTGTGAGAAAAACAAAAACGCATAGTCAATATAAATTTGGGTTGGGACTTAAACCATATTTGAATTTCCTTATTTTATTAATATTGAAATTGGAATATATTTGAATAATGATTTAGACCAATAAATGCTTGTAATCTGGGTATATCCTCCGTTATAGCTGCTATGTTTTTTTCGACCAGACGGCAGCGCATGCAGGTAATCAATGCTGTTTTTTGAAGAAACGCCGTCAACCCCGGTCCTTTATTAAGATCAGATGCCGTATTCACTTTTCTTAAAAACAAGCGCGTACTAACTGGGGCCAGCAGTCAAACGCCCCAGGGCATAGGGAAAAAAACAATATTCTGACCAGTTCTAAAACAGGATATTTTATCAAGACTGTGATTGGAGCGAAAGATGAACATTTGCAGCTACTACATACAAAAATCATGCCAGTTTAGTATTTGAATTTTAAAGTGATAGTCTGGAACTCTATATGAATTACAAATTTTAAGAATTGTATTAAATTGACCTCCTGGCTTTTAATGTTGATATAAAATAACATTTTATGAAATATAATATTATGGGTAAGTCCCGCCTTCCCTTATCTTAAGCCTGGTTCATACGGCAGGATAATTAGGCCGATTTTGGACCCGATTTACCCCTACAACAATCGTCAGAACGCTCCAAATATCGTAAGAAAAAATCTGATGGATTTTCCTCCCGTGTGTGGTGTGGGACCTTATGCCGGGTTTTGTTTTTTTTTTTAATTGTGGATATCAAAATTGCATGACAATGTCAATCTGAAATAGATTCCGGCAAAAAAAATCCTATATTTAAAAAAAAAGAATGTGTTTTTCATGAATTTAAGTTGTCTATGCTCTAACCTGCGTGTGACGTCATAGCGGGTTACGCCCATGCATTGAAAACCATGGATCTATGCCACAGGACTGCCTTTTCTCTCTTCTCTCCACTGATGCCCAACACAATACTGCACTCTACAGGTGAC